TGAAACTTATTCCTAGAAAATAAAAATATGAAATATTATTATTTGATAAATTTACTACTATTTGTATAATTTTAAAATTTTTTTAGCTAGAATATTTGTTTCTTACAAAAAAATAAATTACCTTTTCATATTCATTTGGACCATTATACAGATGATGCCTTGATAAAACAAATATACATGATAAACCAATGTTTTTTTATTATCTTTACATTAAAATTTATCTACCGAAGATTTTTTTGTAACGTGGAATTCGGTCGCGTTTACTTCGTCGAAAATTATTTCGACAATCATTTCGTCGAAAATTTGTTTCGTCGAATGTTCATTTCGTCGAAAGTTATTCATCCTCGAGCCAGAGACCAAAAGAGTTAGATGTGAGAAGTGTGGTAAGTTAGTTAAGAAATTAGGTGAGGAAAGCGGAGTGTGTGGGAAGTGTGAGGAGAAATTTGTTTAATGAAGTTTTTTTTTTTGTGACGAAATAATTTTCGACAAATGAATTTTTGACGAAATGAACTTTCGATGAAACAAACTTTCGACGAAATGGGTGTCGACGAAATGACTGTCGACGAAATGAATCAGATCCATAAAATAATGACCATATGAAAGCTTAGTGTATTATACACCTTCTTATTTACTATCAAGTCTTTTAAAGCGATATTGAGAAATAATCTGAGCTTTGAAGTGAAAAAGTAATACCGTTTTTGAATAGCCGTGAATTCATGTAGAGAAAACCTTTCGATATGAAAGAGTATTCATTAGAAAGATTTAATGGAGTAATTTCATTTTACTCTAACAACAAAGTTCGACTTTATTATAAAAATGAGATATTTAAAAAAAACTTCATGTGACACGAATTTCGAATTTATTTTTTGATTGACCGGATTTTTAAAGTACTATTTCCAGCCCTGCTTGTGTGATAATCATATGAAACCTCTTATTACATTAATGGATCAAGCTTAGCTTAAAACAAATATCGTTCAAATGAAAATATTAATATTTTGGTCTAAAAAAAAACGAAAACACAAAGAATTGGATATAATAATATTATTATTATTAGTAATAGACCGTCCTGGACTTAACCCTTTAAATCAAGGTTATGGGATACAAAATTTTGATTGGTTAATTTGAACTCCACGCGCGAATTTAGAATATATATATATATATATTTTGGTTTTTCTTTTATTAAAAAAACCCCCGATTAAAAAAAACCCGATTAAAAAAAAAACCATTAAATTTGAATCATGTCAACCTTTTCATTTCAAGATTTTATTTCCTTAAGTTTATTACTTGTCATTGGTTATGTG